AAAAGTAAACGCCTCAGTGTGATCAACATCTAGTGCGATGCAACAACAAACAACCCAGTCAAAACCGTCATTTTGCTCCCTTTCTCCAATGCACATGCAATGATACCAGCCTGCCCAGCGGTACTGTGTTTTCCCGAAGATACACCCCCGACCATATCTGCAGTCATATCATCGATAAGTAAATTCAAGCAAGCAAGAAAGTACAGTAGCAAGCATGAATGTATCAAATAAGAAAAAGGATAAAAAACAAGTGTCCGGCGCCCCTCCTCTGCCAGTCCCGACCATGGACAGAAGGAAATAAGATATGCGATCGTAACAACACGTGGGGATCATCAAATGCCCACCCTCCACGCGGGCATTACAAGACAAGAATGAAAAAGATGGTCAAAAGGAATATAGGCGGTGAAAAAAATGGAATAGTAATAGAAAAACCATGACGCGACAACCAAGCCGCATAAGGTCGGATGGACGAAAGAAGATGGAGGGTGGGATTTGGTATGGGTGGATGGGTGTGGCGGCCCATGTACTCGCCTGCCCGCGACCAATGCAGAGAGACTCTGCTGCAGCCGAATCTGCGAAGCTGGTTTGCTAGATGCATAATTGCGGATCTATCTGCATGCTGCGATAATGTCCGATGCGGGCGCGGACAGTTATCGGTCAGGCCGCCACTTTTTGCTTTTTTTTTTTCGTCCTTTTTTTCAGAAGCCTTAGATCCGTTCCTCTGGAAATGGTATTCGTCTCCAGTGAAAGAACTTTGGGGGTAGTGCAGTGTCATTCCGCCTTGGACCCCGGAATATCCGGTGCTGAATCCGCAGCTGCGAATTCCGTGACTTGATCCGATAGTGCTCCCTGGTCCTGGGAGGTGCCGTTCAGTGGACCGGAGACTGTACTGGGTTGTAGTACATTGCGTACATGTTGTTCCATGAGGTAGCTTGCTGGTGAGGGTGGATGAATGCTGAGGGGCCGAGAGTAGGAATAGGCGGGGTTCCAGTGGCGCTGCGGCTACCAAGATGGAATCCATGGTCTAGCAACTACAAATCAGCTTCATTCAGTCCCTTCTATTCATAAAGGATACGGTTGAGCCCGCCTTCATTCTGCTGAATGAAGCAAGGGATGATGTACATACCATTGCCATCTTCGTACTCCATCTTGATCTCTTGGCCTCCTCGGTGGCCGCTTCCATTGGGTGAGATGAGGCCTGCGGGTGCGCTGGTTGGGAGATAGGGTGTGACGTACTCGTCAGGTGTTGCTGACGAGGCAGGGCTGGAGACGGTTGAAGGAACAGAGTTGGTTACGCCGGATGCCCAGCTCTCTGTGTTGTTGGGAAAGGGAACGTATCCTGGGGCGTACTCTGGTAATTGGCCGCTCGAGCCAAAGTCGCTGGTAGGAAAGGGAGATGTGCGAGGGCTGGTGATGGGGCCGCTTGCAGTGCTCAGGTTGTCATCGTAGACTGCCAAAACTACATGTTAGACAAAAAATAAGGGACAGTAGAATATCGCCTTGGAAGACATACCAGGAGTGGAGTAAGGCGAGGAGGTCAGAGAGACACCCATGGTCTCTCGAAGGCGGCGAAGCTCCTCTTCAAGAGCCTTGTTCCTGCGGAGCAATTCCTGGAGGGTCTTGTCACGACTTTGCTGGCTTCGTAGTTCCTCGAGCTCAGACTCTAGGCGCTCAATGTGCTCCTTGGTGCGAGCACGAATAGCTCGCTGGGCTTCTCTGTCGTTAGCGCGCTTCCGTGCGAGCTGTGCTGGTGTCAAGGTCGAGACACTGCGGGTACCTAATGGCAAGCAAGGACTCGGTCAGTGGGAGTTGCTTGTGCGGGGGGAAGGGGAGCTTACCCTTGCGCTTGGATACCTTGGCCTGGTCTGCTGATGATGATCGAACCATGGTTGGCGAGGGGGACTCGTTTGAGGGAGCTGAGGTAGGCCGGCTACGGCGATTGTCGGGAGTTGTGGTCATTTTGGCGGTTGTGAGGTGAGGTGTTGAAGAGAGAGTTGTATGAATCCGGATGATTCAGATTGCTGCCACAAAGGTAGGCAGGAAAGCAAGGATGTGTTTGTGATTTATAGCCCGTGGATTGTTGTTGTTATTGTCTTGGGAGGAGACGAAGGGTCCAGTTGGATGTTGCTTCAAGACGTGGGTCGAGGTCGAGGGTCGAGGAAGGTGAAGGCCAAGGGGTGGCTGCTATGTATATGTATGTTTGACTTGGACGAGGGCTGCAGGGTTTATCAAATGCGGAGCTGGTTCTAGTTCGTCGTCATCCAAAGGCAGGTTGTTTGCATGGGAAGATCTGCTGTTATAACTTCATCTGGCACGTTGACTGGGATGAGGACTGGGTGGAGGATAACGCATGCTATATAGGTAATGCATCTCTTGCTTAGGCTTGGGCTCACGGTAAAGCCAAGGAGACCAGGTTGGGATAGAAGCTGCATCTCGGTACACGGGGCGTGAGGCGTGCGAGAAGGCGTCGAGGGTGGTGGCGTATGCTGTAGAGTCGATGGTGGAGAAGCCAAGGGGTGTGGAGCGGAGGGTGTGTCCATTCTGATACTAGGTAGTTTGTTGGGAGATGCCGGACCACCCCCATGTTGCTCTTACTTCTGCTTACCCCCCTCCCCGGCCGGCCCAAGTCCGACCAGCCCTAGCCTTAGCATAGGAAGCTGTTGTGCTGGTAACTCCGCTGCTCCTCGATTCACCATGCCTATGGGGGAAATCCAGCCAGTTTCTTGCCCACTCCGGATCCCAGCCGGCACCAACGCTACCTGACTGTTTCCTGTATTGGATGTTAGCGCACTAGCTCTTCAACTCTCACCCAGCCTTCGACTAGAGGGGAGGTACACATCTACATCTATACATGCATACATAGGTAGCTCCAGTAACCATCCGTGGGAATTTGTGGCGTCGTCCCAATCATGTGGCCACTATCCTTGCCGGCGGCATCGAGCATCTGGCACTCCAACGTCTGCCCAATTACACTCTTCCTGTACCCGACAAACAAACATTGCTGTTGGCTAGTTGCAAAACTGGATTGGGAGGTATTTGCGATCCTACCAACAGCTATTGAATGCCCGCATAATCGACGATCCGTGGGCTTGCTGCTGCTAAGCGTAAACTTGTGTCCGCCCATCCTTCCACTGCGTTCTTGCTGCGTGAAAACAATGGTGGCGTACAGACCTGATCCAACAACGATGACCAGCCCCATCATTCTCTCCTAGCAGGATCAATCAACAAAGGGACTATGCTGGATAATAGGTCTGGACCCAAACGGGGGGATCGACTTGAACCAGATTCCCGAGAGCAAGTGCTTGTCCGCACCGTCCCCGTCCCGAAGAGCTGGTCCAGCCCGTCTTGGTGGAGTCGCCAGCAAAATCAGGTTGCGGGCTTCTAGAAAGCGGCCTCCACTACACAGCCTAGTGCAGGATGGTGAGCAGAGCTGGCCCAAGACACAGAGCGAACCGCAACCGGCACCGAGGTGGACTGTCCATATCCGGCGGCAAGTTGCAATCCGCGACAACGGTGTCGAGCTTATCTAGCCCAGCCGGACAGAGGCTCATACCAATATGGGTGAGTCTGGAGCACGTACAAACATGGAACTATTACATCCGTAGGCCAGCCTTATATCCGGCTCAGCCAGCAAGCCACAGACGGTTTCCGGTGTGCCCGTCTTCATGCCCGTCTAAAAGCCTGCCCGTTTGCTAAGGGCACGGTTCTTCTTATGAAAGGAATTTCGCCTGTGTAGGCGAAACTGTGCGGGTGCGTATTCCAGGCAATTGAAACCCAGGCATGTCCGAGCACCTTCTCGGGGCGTCACCTAGTTTGGGCAGCTCGAAAGGGATGGCCAGCATCGATGTTTGACATGGCAAAGCGATGGTCGGCCTTCTTTCCGAGGACAGGGATCGAGCGCTGTCAATCAGCGAATGAATAGAGGGCATTAAGGTTTGGAAACAGGCGTCACTTACCCGACACAGGCTGGATGTACAGTAGCAATGAGATCAGTCAAATTGCTTCATTCGATGCCATTCCAAAAAGTGACAGGTCGGATCTCGGGGTCTCTCGGTCGAGCGAAACGCTTTGATTGGCGAGAGCAGGCAGGGGAGCCCCGTTCGCCCACATGGCTCGCTTCGAAAGACTTGGGGGATCTCCACGGACGGTCGAAAAGGTGGCGAGAAGGTCTCAGGCCAACCAGGGGGCGGATGACTGACCGTCGCCGGATCAAGTGCTTTACCGATCGGTCGGGCAGTGACGGACTCGACATCACATACGTCGTCGAGCGTTTCGCCTCTCCGTTGTGCGTTTCGCCGCGAGACGCGCGAGTTAGCCTCTTTTTAAGGTTCTGTCCGGCACTTTCTGAAGAGGACGAATTGGCCCAAGACGTGTCGCGTGGCAACATGCCTTGTCCCTAGAAGGTGCTTTAGTGCTCATTCGAAGGAGCCAGCCTGAGCCAGGCGGCCACTTCACACATGGCATGACAGCAGCAGTGACATGTCGAGGATTGGGGGTGGGTGCGGGAAGCCACGCGTTCTGGTGCGCTATCACCAAGCGCAACAGCTATGGAGCAAAAACAACCCTGACCAGCCAGTCAAGCTGTCGAGCTGGCACCGGCCCTGCATCACCAATGCGTCTTCGACGTTGGCGCGGTGGAAATTTAGAGAAAGGAGAGCAGAAGTGTGTGTGGGGAGGCGGCAGCATCCCGATGAGCGCTTTTTTTTTTCTTTTGCTTTGCTTTTGCCCAAGTTGTATGGACAGTTCAGAAGCAGAAGCTGAAATACATCTTCTTTGCATGGTTGATTGGCCCTAGACGTTTGGGTTGGGTAATTCCTGGGGGCTTCCATTTCCACTTCCCTCGATCCTTCCTTCTCTTTGGAGAACAACCTAATAATGAACAGGGCGGACGGGCCACACCACACCGCATTTAGCAGCACAAGCGGATGTATGTAGACGCTCAAGTAGACTCTCGCACCCTCCCACCATCACGGCTGGAATTAGCACGGCAGCCCTTCGTAATGTGGCTCCCCATGTGGCTTCCAGGAGACGGAAACACCTCACACCTCTTCACCGTACCTATCCCGCCTATCTGTCTAGCACATGGCCCTAACGTGGCCAGCTGGCAGCAGTCAGCCAGCGACGGACCAGCACCAGGTACTTGGTAAGTCCAATGGCGCTGGCCGTGCTTTCCTCCTGTAATAGCCGGGCAGTGTGGCGAGGCTTTCAGGGCGGTACAGGAATTAAGTCGGAAGGTGGGCCAGGCAATCCTCCGAACCAACTCCTCGGAGCTGTGCTGCCCCTGCAAGAGCCGAGCGCAGCATGGTCTCCCAGCACCTTGGACCCTGGTGTTAATTACCTGGGCGCACATCTGGCTGCTCTGGCGGACTGTTACGTGCGGAGGGTCAGGAACCTGCAGCAATAGGCACCGGGGGCCCCTGTAGTTCTAAGCATAGGTCTCCCCACAGGGACTGTGGGCAGAGAGAGAGGCAGGCTGAACGGGCAGGATGGCAGTGGAAGTCGTCGCTGCTTAGGGTCGTGGATTATGGAGCTACCTGCTATAGCGCGAGTGCACGCCGCAGACCGCCACAGCAGGTAAGGTAGCGCTAACAGCGATCCTCTCCACCTAACAGCCTACCTGGCCTAGAGCGCTGCCACAGACCCAACCTCAGCCGCTGAGGCCTGGGCTGCTGGGCGGTGCGCGATTGCGAGGCAGCAGGGTGCTGGGTACGGCTCCGCTGCTGCATTAGGTACTGCGGCAGCGCGACACAGCGTCGCATCCAGAGAGGTACCTGACGATCGACCATCCACCCATCCATCTCCCATCACCCATGATGGTCGCTCTTGCCAGCAACCTGCCTGCCTTAGCCAAACCACCATCTCACTCTCTCGCTCACCCTTTTCCTCACCTTCACTTAGGCACCAGGAAAAGTCTTTACCCACACCATCGCCACAGGTTTAACCAATACCAACCGCCGCAATCCCATCCATCTTCTCCCGCTAGCTGACCTTCAGCTCCTCGTCATCTTGTTTGTGTGTGTGAGGATCGGCCCTGTTTGGGTTGTGCTCTAGAAAAATTCGATCGCATGAAGCTGCTGCACGGCGACGCAATGGCTCATCTCGCCGCTGCCTCCTATTTGTCAGGACGCTGACATGGTGCCTGGGTGTCTGTGTGTCTCATACCTTGACCGCGCAGACCCGAGACATTGATCATATCTCAGACGTGCTGTCCGAAGCGGAGCACCCTTCATACGCTCCTACATACCTTACCTACTGCTACCTCGACTACATGCACACACACGCACACACGTGAAAAGGCACACATACATCCTCGTAACTGATATACCACTCCCCTACCTATACCTGGCCACCGTATCAGGCTCCCTTGGCCCGGCGGTCGGCTCTCCGACCGCCATTGCCGCCTCCGCCGCATGCTCTGTCTCATTCTCTACATTTCAAGGCCGGCTCTGCTACGACAACGGTCGCGCCGATGACAGCATCACGGGCCTGCTGGTGTCGCAGAGAACCAATAGGGCTAGCATCAAGGCTGGAAATGGCATCAGATTAGTGCCCTCCGACGAACGCAATTTGCTTTTTCGCCTGACGGCGCCGCTTTTCCCCTCTGTTTTCTCCGTCTTGTCCTGGCCGTGGCCGCCGGGGATGGATTGGCCTTATGCCGTGATGATGAGCGACTCCGCTGCCCCATCGATTGATCGCTTTCCACATAATTGGCCTTCACCAGGCTGCACGCTTCAGACAATGATCCTAGCGCAAGGAGGAGACGTCCATCTCAGATTTCGTCATACCGACTCACGCCAGAGGTCCATCAACACCTCCGTGGGCGACATCGTATTCCATTGCCTTGTTGAGCTGGCCTTGCTCGCTGCAACGGGCATGATCCCGGAGTCTCCGCATCTGCCAAGTCCCTCGCCCTGCTTCCTGCAGTAGCGGCTGCGTCGGCTCATCTGCAGCTCGCCTTTGCTAATAAGCAAAAAATTTGATTCCCTTTCATGCCCTGAGCTTGACGTTTTACCTAACAGCCTGCCAGCCAGCCGCCCGTGACCGTTGGACGAGGCAGCTCAGATGACAGGCGGTGAAGTATTGCCAATCATTTTTTTAATAACCCCATTCCTCGCTTACACGATGACTTCGACTTGATGGAGACATCCCATTTTCTTCGTGTCCCTTTCGAGATCTTCTTGCGAAGTCAACACACCTCACTCATCTCACCTCCCTTAGACCTAGAGAGGGTCATGATAGAGGGTAATCAACCTCGACTCCATACCATTAGCTACTCATTACACCGCCAGCAACCGACAAGACTTGTTTTGCCATGTTTTGACTCGTTTTCACCGGTCGAACTTGGATCGTCCTGGCTCATTAGTCTGTACGTTGCATTCCTGTTTCATTGCCGTGGGGCCCAAGTCCGAATTCTTTCTTGCAACACGTAGATTCACCTAAGGGTAGCCGCGTCTTGCGACTTGCATCTTGTTAGTCGTTTAAGCAAATATGGGCCAAGACTTTACGAGCTGTGTGATGACATTGCAAGTCGCAGCTGATCTTCATGCGAGCCAGCATAGAGCTGGCTTGCATGGCCCAATGAACAAGCTGCCTGCAGTCCCCCAATCTTCTAATAATACCCATTTATTGCACTTGTCCCCTGCCCCTCAGTCCTCCGAGAGAGCCAACGTAGATCCTGCCCAATGGCCCGCTAAACCACACTTCAAAATCAAAACATACATACATTACTCTTGATAGACCAGTGCAGTGTGGGGAGGGCCCGCTGGGTCCTGCGATGGACCTCCTTTCGCTCTCTCCCGAGCAAATGCCATCCAGGCCATCCAGGCATGTTCCCAGCTTGACCGGGACCAAAAAAGGCCCGGATGGATTCCCACAACCCCCATCTGCTTCACCTCACTGCCGAACCGCGTACACTGAAACTATCTCCTCGGCACTGTCATCTGCTTTTGCCACAGAGAGACTGCGATGAGAAGGGCGCAACCCTGCTGTGCTGGAAAAACGGGTTTTGTGTTATATAAGTGGGTGAGAAAAGCCCACAGTGGGTTTTTTTCTGTCCCTTGAGTTGGACCCTCTAAGTTATTTTCTTTGACGGGTGCTAGCTTGTGGCCTGTGCCATCTAATTAACACCTACGGTCCATAGGTAGACTAAAATGCCCACGCCCAAGCCCAAGCAGCAATCTTGCTGAGATTGATCGGTATGTGGTTGCTGGAACCCAGAGCGTTATCCTGTTTCAGCTCTGGCTCTTCCTTCATTCGTTCCCGTCCCGGCACTCTGCAGGACGTACGTCCGCCGAGTTTCCCAAAGCAAACGACCATCGTGGGGCCCACGATCTTCCCCTGGCTTACACGACGGAGGGTCTTGGCTAAGTCATCTACTTTGGCATTTCATTTCGTTTCATTTTTTTTATTCTGTTAGTTGTTAGTCTAGGGTCATTTTCACTTGTTGTTATGACGCCGGCGCTATCTCTGGGTTCTCATCCTTGACCACTTGCACCATCTCCTCCATCCCACCGACCGTCGTCGGCCCGCTCATGCCCTTTGGCGGCAGAGCCCACTTGGGCAGGGGGCTGATGTACGCCCACTCGCCGCCAGCGTCCTCGTAGCGGAGGCTGTGAAGCCACAGCGACAGCTCGTGGCTGCCCGGGTCCGAGTACAGCGGCGTGTCGCAGACCTCGCACAGCTCGCCCGTCATCTTCTCCGCCCGCCTCTTCTCGTAGTCGTCCACCATCTCGTCGTAGTAGACCACCGCCTGCGCCACCTCCTCCTTGCCCATCTTCGACAGCCGCGTGATGACGTCCTCGTCCGAGGTGCCCGTCCCGTCGGCGTCGTTCTCGCCCAGGTTGAACCCCCACACCCGCTGGTTGGCGTAGATGGGGTCGTTCTGGATCGGGTGCCCCAGGTACTGGAGGTGCACCCGCAGCTGATGCGTGCGGCCCGTGACGGGCATACACCTCACGATAGAGTACCCTTGCTTCGACTTCCAGGGCATCCCCTCTCTTCTCTCCTCGGCTGCGCTGGGTTCTGCTGCCGGCTCCTGCCCCCCATCGCGAGGCGGGTAGTACGCCAGCCTCTTGAACACGGTCCGCGCCGACTTGCCGTTGGCGCGCACGCGGTTGAGGCCCAGCTTGGGCGAGATGGACAGGATGGGCTGGTCGCAGACGACCTCGCCCTCGGGGAACATGCCCGTCACGCGCGCAAGGTACTCCTTCCTCACCGTCCTCGACTTGATCTGCACGCCGAGCGCCTCGGCCCGCTTGGGAGTCTTGCCGATGAACATGATGCCGCTGGTCAGGCGGTCCAGCCTGTTGCAGGGGTGCGGGGTGAAGGCGGGCCCCCTCTCCGACTTCATGATCTCAATCACCGAGTTGAAGTTGTACCGGCCCGCGGGGTGGACGGGGACGCCCGCGGGCTTGTTGATGACGATCATGTCGTCGTCCTCGTGGATGATGCCAATTGGCTCCGCCGTCACGGGCGGCTCGTGACGGTGCAGCGTGTGGGAGATCTTGTCGCCGTTGCGGACGATGTAGTCGGGTCCGACGGGGTGGCCGTTGACGTAGATGGAGCCGCTCTCCATCGCCCGCTTGTAGTACGCAAGAGGCCGATCCCGGAACTCAGACTCGAAGATCTCGATCAAGGGCCGGTTGCGCCATCTCTCCTTGCACCATGTGTTGTACGTGAAGTGGTACGGCGCGACACGTCGGAGGTCGTCATCAATGATGTACGGCCTCGGCCACATGTCTCCAATGGGTGTGGCCAGCGTCACTTGCTTGGCTGCATGGGCCGAAGGTCCCTGAACCGGTCTACCCTCGGACGTGTCGGGGGCTGCGCCCACGGTGACTTTGGGAGCCTCCATGGTGAATGGTCTGGTAAGAAGTCGTCCTATGCCTCTCCGGATGACCCTTAAAGGCATGAGCTGCCCGCCCACCAGGCAGGGCGAGGGGGGTATGGAGGGGTAAGGTAGGGGCGTTCAGCCTGTCACGCGACTGAATACGGCTTTTTGCCAGCTCTCCGAACCACAGTGGCGGTATCGGTAAGGGGCCCGCCTCGTAAAACAAGAAACTATGTCGTCAAATCCGTACCAGGGAGTGTGGTCTTTTTTTTCCGGGCTTAGATATGCAGCTATCAATCTTCCTGCCCTAACAAAAACGACATGGCAAAACATGCATATTGACAATGGGGAAAATTTTGGCGGTGACGGGCGGCAGAAGCACCAAGAATAGCCTCCCTCTAGCCCCATTCGTCACAGGGTGTGCGCCACGTCGATCAGGGCTGCTGCGCCGCAGCGTGGACGATTGACTTCCGGCCGGTGTGGCGCAATGCATGCATACCTCGGCTTCTCCGCTCTTCGGAGATGTACCCAGATGCGCTCTTCTTCCTTCATGGCAACCATGGGCATTCCGAAGT